TCTTTCCTTAACTTATCTACTTCATTTCATTGTGCATTAATGGTAATAATTAAAAACACTTTTTGTGGACACTTACACCCATATGTGGGCCTTCCCTAAACGGTTGCCACAACGTTGGAAGCAATTGTATAGAATGCCTTTGTATGTTGTAATATTACAATTTCCCTTTACTGAAATTAAGGAGCCCCAACCTGTTCCAGCATGACAATGCTCCTGTGCACAAAGTGAGGTCCATGAAGGCATGGTGCACCAAGGCTGGAGTGGAAGAAGTCAAGTGGCCTGCAAAGAGCCCTGACCTCAACCCCACTGAACACCTTTGGGATGAACTGGAACACTGACTGCACCCCAGGCCTCCTCACCTGACATCAGCGTCTGACCTCATTAATGCTCTTGTGGCTGAATGAGCACAAATCCCCACAGCCACACCTCAAAATCTACTGAAAAGCCTTCCCAGAAGAGTGGAGCTTATTATAACAGCAAAGGGGTTATAAACAAATCCACAAATTTTGGCCATATAGTGTACATATAGTACATATAGTGTATAGTACTGACTTAGGTACATGTAAAGAAATATTGTAAAGCAAATATGCCTTCAAAAATAATGAAATTAAACATTTGCTACATAAAAACATCTAGTATTAAGAGCAGTAAACAGCACTAAATTAAACATTAAACATAGTCAGTATTTCCCACGACAACCCTTTGCCTTTAAAAACACTTTAGTAGTCTGAGGTACTTCATACAGTTTTATGAGAATATTGGCTAGTAAGATTTTCTAAGCATCTTGGAGAATCTGCCACAGTTTTTCTGGAGACTTTGACTCTCACACTTGCTTCTGTTTTTGCAGGTTGTTACGAACCCCTGTTTAAATTAGCCAGAAAGCGGAACGCAACATAAAGAAGGACACGTGAATCCTAAGTATCATGCAAAAAAACCCATTTATTTAAACAACGAAACTAAACATAACACAAAGGAAACACGTATCAAAACAAACAAAAAAGAAAACAAAAATGCTCCTAAAAGAACGTTAGAAAGATGTTCCACAACCAAACCACGGAACAACTCCAAAATATCAGGGCAACAAAGATGAATCAACCAAAATTAAAAAAACAAAAAAACAAAAATAAGGTTAATAAAACTTGTTTGCTGGTGGATCTCCTTCCCTCTCCATGCCCCACTTCAGCGTCCATAATATAGTTAAGCAGCACTCATGCCATGAGACGCAGGTGCACAAAGGCGGACCTAAACAATCAGACTCGGAGAGAAAGATCAGGAGAGACATGACGTCACAGGAAGGAGAATACACACTCAAGGCATAGGCCGTAACACTCCCCCACCTACAAGAAGACCTAGTCTCCTTTTCGCAAAAGAGACAGGTTCTGGGTGAAGCCATCAAGTGAAAGCAAACAAGAAAAAGTACACAAACCCAGTGAATCTAAAGGGGGGAACAAAAAAAAAAAAACAATTACCTAGCCCCGAGAAAGGGCACAGCCACGACATTGTCAGTTCCTTTCTTATGGTGGATCTCAAGATTGTAATGTTGAGCCATCAGAGCCCAGCGCATCAAACGTTGGTTATGGTTGTACATTTTATTAAAAAAAAAAACAACAAAAAACAACGGACTGTGGTCCGTGTAGATGACGATAGGAAAAGCACTATATCCAACATACACATCGAAGTGCCGCAAAGCAAGCAACAGAGCCAGTCTCCTTTTCAATAGTAGAATAATTCAATTGGTAACGATTAAATTTAGCAGAAAAATAAGACACTGGATGGGATATGCCATCAGCACCATCCTGAAGCAGGACCGCTCCACTTCCGGTCACGCTGGCGTCCACCTCGAGCTTAAACGCACGCGCCACGTCAGGAGCAGACAACACGGAGCACTACAAAGGAGAGACTCCGCACACAAAAATGCACATTTTTGTTAAGGGGGGCAACCACAGTCTAGAAATTTTTACAGAAGCATCTGTAATAGCCAGCCATCCCTAAAGATCGTCGCAACTCTCGCCTCTACTACGAGGTACGCAAGGATAGCGGTCACTTTTGCGTCCACAGGACGTACTTGACCGTTCCTGACCTGTTTTCCTAAATACGTGACGGAAGCTTTTGCAAAGTCGCATTTTCTTCAAGTGTACCGTTAAGGCCGCGGCTGCTAATCGACTAAAAACATCGTACAATGTGGAAATGTGATCAGCCCACCCAGAAGAATAAATGACTGCGTCATCCAGGTAGATGTTACAATTCGGAACGTCACCCAAAACCATAGACCTCAACCTTTGGAATGTGGCGGGGGCGTTTCGCAGTCCGACCGCCATCCGTGTATACTGAAGAAATTAATCAGGAGTCATACAAATCATACTGGCATACAAATGTTTTTCTGTAAAATGATTTTTTTCTTTTTGGAATAAATAAATAAATAAAACCAACCTAAAATTGTTCTTTTTTAATGATGCAATAATGCAGAACACATCAAATAAATATCTAAGACAA